CGACGACGACGACGACGACGACGACGACGACGACGACGACGACGACGAATGAGGAAGAGAGAAGGACTGAGTGGAACCAAATTGTTAATAACGAAGCACCGACCGTTCGTGCAGTGGGTATTGAAAACGGAGTACACTGAACGGATTGAAACCGATTTTTAAAAAAAAAGCATGAGCCAACACAACACAACAGCGACGGAATGAGAGAGAAGATAGACAACGGTAATAGAGTTTCAATGCATTTGAAATGAGCACTTGGCGTCTCGCTCAATCACATTGAGCTGTCTCCGGCTCTCTGCACGGTGTGTGCAATCCGTACATCACAGAATAGATATTAAATAACAAAGTCAAATGCAATTCAGCTTATACACACGGAATGAGTATACAGAGAGAAGAGAAGCAGAAGCAAAAAAAAAAACATTCCAGCACTTTTTGAATCCCACAAAGCAACTGAGCCGTATGAATGCGATTTTCGCGAATAAAACACAATGAGAGATTCTCTTAATGCTCCAGCGGAATGGAGGAAAAATCACATCAACCACACGAATGCATGGACAAGAGAAAGAAAGACAACGGCTGAATGGAAAAAAGATATTGCATGCAAAAAAACGCATACATTTTGTATTAGCAATTGGGTCAACTTAAAACCTATGCAGTGCATGCGATTGGTTTTTTTGCATGAGTGTTTGATGGTGATCGCGTTGGTGTTTTTTTTCCCTCTTCTCTTCTGTATAATTTATAATTCAACCCAAAGCGAACGATGGGCGAATCAACGAAAAAGACAGAATAAAAATTGCACACACAGATCTTTAACCACACTTTATAAGCGCCTTAAATTTAATCTCTCCTCTTAACATTCACTTCGCGAGATTGAAACACTCTCGATGGATAATACACATACGATCGAAGCAAGCTGACTGTCACATTGAATCCTCTATTTGTGAAAAGACTACACTAATAGTTCCGCTCTTTTTTTTTATCCTTTGGATGAAAAATAAAACCAACTTATTAAGTCGCACGTATACTCACACTGCAAGTGGTTTCAATGAAACACACAAATTATTTGGAAATTGGTTAAACTCAAAATAAAATGAAAAAAAAGCAATCTTGAAATGCTTTTCGATGTGGCTAGGACGAATGTCAGATCGAAACTAACCACCTCATCTCGTATTGGTGACAAAGTCAATTCGGTGTCAGGAAAAATTCAAGAGAGAAATACTAAAAACTGTGTTGTCTCTTCCTTTTTCCGTCAAACCAAAGCGTTTTAGTTCCTTGTCGTATGACCGTCGTCATTAGCAACACATTAAAAGAACTGTTACACACTGACCGGACCGATAAACTCGACACAATATTACACTATGACTTTATATTGACTAGCTGACTGACTGGCTGGCTGGCTGGCTACTCGTAAATATCGTATGAACGGAATATGTGAGGCTGAAGTGTGCCATTATCGTTATCGATACCTTTTTGTTTCGTCTTTCTTTCTTTCTTCCATTTTTTTTTTCATTTGTTTATTCTTCCTCACACCGAAAACACACCAAAAAGGAACACCTAAAATTGTTGTGCCTAATTTCTACAACCCGATAGCAAATAGCAACCAAAAAGAGAAAATGGGATTTTTATCGCCCGACCGACTCAACACACTTGCAAGCACCATCAGTGTAATTAACATTTCACAAATCTCTTGAGTTAACCGTAATTTAGTGAATGCAACACAATCTGTGAAACTGAAACAATGCAAACGGCGGCGAAGACGACGACCATAGCAGTAACGAACACGTTCATTTCCTATAGACACGAGACAGGACTATGTATTGAATACTGCAAAGTCGGCCACCGCTGTTACTCATTAATATTCCAAATATTTGAAAATGAATGAGACAAAAACGGTGATGATTCAAGGTGTCGCCACACGAAGACGGGTCTTTTTCTCGTTTCACAAATGATAATTGTGGATTCCCTTTGTAATCAGCATTATTATTTATCTGCAAATCGGTCTGTATTTTTATATGAAAGGATATGGTGTGGTGTGATTTTGACCAAGCCAGTGATTTTGTACATCAGCGACAGCAACGAAAGACAAAAAAAAAATCATTAAGCATAATGACTTGCAAATAGCCTGGTGGAGATTCCAATTATAAATCCTTCGTTGTTACGCACAACATCGTCATCGTCGAGCGATATTTTTTTGTCGAGGCAAACCGAAGCGAAACCGGATAGCCGTAGAAACGGCAAACACGACAAAAATCACTTTTTTTTGCCACCACTCACTCACTCGCATACACTGACACATCGTATCAACGGGCACTCTTCTAACGACGACAACGACAACACCGTCACTGTGTGATCTCAAATTCGACGCCATGTTTGGAGCTCACAGCACTCCTTGAAAAGGAGTTTTTTTTTTTCGAACGAGTTATATGCCGTCAACACACACAGAGACACCATTTCATCGGAATTTATACAATCGCTTGCGGATTTTTTTTTCGTACTTTTTTCGCTGATTTCGTTCACATAATTCGATCGAAGCTCACATTTACTCAACTATTAGGTAATGAACAATGTAAAGCGCACCAAAAAACAATGTATTTTCTTCTTGTAAATGAACAACATCAACCAAAACAATATTATTAATGGATGAATATCATTTTTAAAAACATAGCTAACAAACAATCAAACAAATGAATGGAATTTACACTAACACATCGACAGGATGGAGATAGTATGGAGTGTAATTGCAAATTACTCATCGACATATTCGTTTCACTCTCGCGCAAAATGGAACACCACACAGCAATCGACTACGCGCGCGCGCGTTACACTCGTAATAATTCCGAAACGAAAAATCGAACTTTACGCGAACTACGTTGCCGTATAACTGATTTACTCGGTTGGATTTCAAAGCGCAACAAGTATAAATGGCACACACACACACACACACATACAACGCAACACACAAACACCGAATCGGGCTTCGGATGAATAAAACAAATGAAAAACAGCAAATCGACGGTGGCCGTTTGCTCTTTCTCTCATTCGGTAAACGCCGCCACCGCTGCACAACGAAGCATGGAGAGGAGTAAAGAAGAGAATCGAAAAAGGAGCTAAGCTGCTTCGTTCGGAATTTGTGTGATTTAATTACGTTTGCGATTGTATAAGTATATTGCGATTGCGGTGAGAAGCGACAACGCGCAAAGCTATCGCGCGAACGGTTGAGAGAGGGAGAGGGAGAGGGAGAGAGAGAAATCGACGCAGTGTCGATGCTGTGTTGGTTTGTAGCGTTCGTTTTGAGTTTTTCGCGCAAATGGGGTTAGAGATTCTTTATGGATATTGGCAAAAGCGTACGTCTTTTTGTGTTTGCATTTAAATAATTCCCTCTCCCTTGTGCCGGAATTTCGTATCGCTGCTTGTGACACTCTATGCCGAGCCTTTGTGTGCTGTTGTTGATTTCGTTTCGTGCATATTCTGCTTGATTCAATCGTGTGGTTTCGGTATATTCGTTTTGTGTTTTTTTTCTTTCTCTTTAAGTTTGACTGTATCCACTTTGGATGCCTATTTCCATTGTTGCGTTGTAAGAAAAACAATCGACCCCTCCGTTAAGCGATCGCGTATTTCTTATTTTATCTTTTCCTTTGGCGATGCGTTGCTAATTCGCTTGCGACGACCACGACAACGACGACGATGTTGCTACCGCGATCGACTACAACACCGTGCTGAAGTTTATATTTCTCTGTTTTGCTTCGTTGCTCTTTTTTTTTCTTTAGGCAAATATTAGAAGGAACGAGTCAACTGTTAGACGGTATTTTGCACACATTTTTCTTCGTCTCTTTTCAAGCATCTTTCGAAGTTAACCAAAATTGTAAATGATTCATTTCATCTCCTTCTAACATTTGTGGCACACCAATTCCGATGCATGACAGCGACGGATACACACAGATACGCCGTATCAAGGGTGTGGTTTTTTGTCCCAAATCTAATTCAACTCGGCTGAACTTCTCTTTGCTGTGTGTACATTGAATATATATGTATGCGCGCACTCAATCAAAATGACACATCCACGCAAAAGATTAAATTATACAAACGAATGTGAACCGTCCGTATGCAACCCGCATTTGCTGTAACTTTAAACTTTTTGACTATTAGAATGTTTCACAACAATAGAAGCCTCGTAACACACACAGCACCAGCAACAACAACAGTAAAAACGACGAAGCTAATTTGTATGTATGGTGTACGGTCGCGTTCTCGAGAAATTTTCATTGTGTTTCGAATGAAATGAAATCCCGTTGCTTTTATAGAGTTGAGTTTATTTAATGACGGATGCCTTTCATTCGAATTCAATGATTTTTCTGCATTATTGTCTCAATGATTCATTATTGTAGGCATGACAGAAGAAAAGAATACCATGCTGTCCTTTCGCTGCGATAGCCATAACATTTATTTCTTTAGAATAAGCAATTCAAATGAGTTAAGATTATGGGTTTCCTTGTGAGTAGGTAGGATTCGATTTGATATTGTTGTTGTTGGTGTGTGTTGGTATCGCGGGCAAAATGTATATGTCGACAGGATGATTAAATCAAGTCATGTTAAAGCGTGTGTCGATCGTTCGTTGCGAAAAAGCAGAATTCAGTGTATAATAAAAATGATTTCAAGTTGATCTTCATTTTTGCAACCCACATCTCTCGAAAGCGAAACATATAGCAAATAACAACGATATATACGTATATAAAAACCACTTTGGAAAATTTTTCGCAATCATCCAGAGGCGATGTGCGCGATGGTCAATACGGTGTTTGCGGTGGTGTTAAAACGCAAAAACAATATCGGCTTTAGTGGCATTTTTGAATGTGTTTTTTTTTCTGTTTTCTTCTCGTCAGTTTTTGTTCATCGAATTGTATATTCCTTGTTTTTTTTTTTTTTGCTCGCAACAGAGAGAAAAAACTCCGTATACAGAAGCTGAACTAGTGATCACATAAAAGCGAACGCTGGAACGGAGGAAAAAAGTAATATAGCAACCCACGTACACACAGAATCAATATTGCTGGATCGTGCCTGAGTATGTGTGTGTGTGTTGAAGCGCAAAATGGGCAAAAAAAATCATATCGCTTGTGTATGAGTTAATTTATAGCCTTTTAGTGGCGACTAACTCATACTACTCTTGCTATGGACTCGCATCGACAGGAAATCTAGTAATTGTATGATGAGTGTTTTTTTTTCTGCGCTCGCTTGCTCGCTCTCTCTCTATGTGGATGGTCGCTTGCATTGAACGGAGCAAACGATTTGGAAAGCGTAGTTAAAATTCTCATAAAATAGTTAAATATTAGTAGTATTTTTATTGTCCGGTCACTGGGCAGTGAGCGACTGACGAAGGAAGTAGGCTAATCCATTATAAACAAATGGTAAACCATAGCCACTCTGCTCTCTCTCTGTGTATGTGCATAAGGCACATAGAAAGGTTTGTCACACACAGATTGCTAGCGACTATTCAGCACATTACAATGCATGTTCGGGGCGAAACAGCGGCGCGCACAAAAATTACAAACTCTTTGTGGATATATTCACACTAAGCCCAAGTCGGTTCGTTTGTTCATTCGTTGGTTGGCTGCAACGAAATGAATAAAAAAAAAAGAGTGCAACAGGCGAACGATTTCTAGTTGATGCCACCATAATACGTGCGCAAGGTAATGCCGTGCGCTAGTTTGATCGACAATCGACAGTCTATGTGAAATGTATACGTTTCATGTAAAACGAAGCGAAAAACAGATTACGATGTAAAAGTGATGAGTTTCATTTGCTGTGTGTCTATTGTTGTTTGTTGCTTCAACATTGAAACGTAATGATGAGTTACAAAGACTCGAAGATTATTTTTTCAACAATGAAATTCAATTAGGAAGGGGATATTTTGACCGAATTTTACATGCCGTCTGCATTCAAATTCGTTCACTTTTATTCAATATTTCCATAATGATTTCCTTGCAGAGAATGGATCATTTGTATTGTCAATGGGAATGAAATCTCTGATCACAAGCAACGAAAGTTGAACGAGAAAGAAGAAACGAAAACACTGGAAATGACATCTTTTGGATGTACATATTCCACAAACGAATGACGAATCGGGCTTTGTTTGCTTTTTATCTTTTTCTGATAAATTTCAATTGTTACTGTACAGTGTACACATGTTTTTACGAAATATTCAAGTAAAATTTCGATAGACAAAACAAAGGCATGTTTAGTCACCATTTCAACAATGGAGCGGCAGCGAGCCTAACACGAGTCCTACCCGAATCGCTATTTGCGCAGTATTTATTCGGCACGATTTGATTTTTTCTGAGCACGCAATGTAGCAAAATAGCGAAAAATAAGATGAAAAGGAAAAAACCCAAACGCGAAAACAATGAAGAGAATGAAATGAGAGGAAGAGCGAACAACAGAGAAAAAAGAGAGAGAGTTGTATAAGAGCAGCGATCAAGTGCTTGCATTGATATGGTTATATTAGGGTGTAGCTCCGTTGTACATGTCGCATCACGGTTGGGGATAAATATCGTTTACTTGACTGCGGTGAACGACGCTGTTGAGAGATCGGTCGTTTCGGGCAATAACTTGATTTTCGGTTCGTCTTGATTTAAATAGCCGTGGCAAGGATTGAAGCACATAAGAGGATGTGCTTGGGTGATTTGAGCTGAAAATACGATACATTTTTTTATGTGGTGGCTCAATATATGTATGTTCAACATGGACAGCATAAAAGAGGAATTCGACAGCGCATTCCTGCGATTCATTTATTTATAGATCCACTTTTCGTATCTCTTCTTTTTGATTCGACGAAATCCACGAAAAAGGAACTCTTGGCGATCGCCATGTATGTGTGTGCACGTACATGAACGCGAATGTATGTGCTGGTGTGCTCGCGTGGTGAGTTTTTTCATTTCATTTCGGGTTTTAATTCTTCGGGCACGATAGTGCTATATTTGTTTCGGTGTGTCGGGATTCGGAGGAAAAATAAACAAAGTAAGAGCGAGAAAAAAATAAAAATGAATGAGGAGAGAAAGAGACTATTTTTGTTTGTGTACGTGTACAAAAGGCACTTAATGATGGTGGCAAAAGGAGCATACGACTGTTTCAATGTTGAATATCATTTTCTTTCAGTTTCACTCTCATTTTATACACGCAACCCATGCCGATGCCGATGATCAATGCTAAAAATAACGAAAGGCACCAAAAACACAATCTGACAAAGTATCGCGTACGCGGATATTCATTTCCTTTCAAATTTCAACCAAGCGATGCTACCAATTGTAAAAAATATACACAAAACTCTCGTAAAATGCGTTCTCTCAACCATGCATTAAGTGAGAGCTCGGTGAACATACGATCCACTCCCTGTTTGTGCTCAGTGTGTCTTCACTCCTTTCCCTCGTTCACCCGTTCACGTTGAACATAACGAACGATAAAGAGGCAGCAAGAGCGAGTGACCGAGAAGGAGATAAAGAAAAAGCGCAAAAGTCAAATAAAAACAAGTTGAAAAATCCACTGAAGAAAAACTGATTGTGTGCGCCTTTTGTTTGCTTTCCGAACGCTTTATTCCTTTTTTTCTCTCTGCGTCTCACTTCGGGGGCCCCGAAGATATTAAATAATGCATACACACAGATTGTATGATCCTATTCGGTTTCATGGAATCGTTGATAAGATAAAAAAAAATATGGTGTATATGGTGATAAACAATGATGAAAAAAGTGAAATGAGCACGGGCACTTATACCCGAGGCGGCAACAATGACGATGACGACAACGGCGAACAAGTCAACAATCAAAAAACCAAATAAAAAGGGACCAAATAACAAAAAAGAAACGATTTCACGTATTGTTTTAATGAAGAAAAAAAAATATATCCAATTTGGTTTTGTGTATGCGCGCAAGCGATCATTTCAATTTGGAAGCACGAAGCGAGAGACAGAAAAAAAGTATAATATATAGTATGTAGAAAACCCTGCCGAGTTTCAAATACGTTGGACCTATGTAATCACGAATTGTATGCGGAGAAATGAAATAATGTTGAAGAAACGAAAAAAAAAAGTTCAATGGCCGTATGATCCGTTTACGAAATATCAAATAAAACTCATATATTATGTTAAAAGAGAAAAAGAAAAAGAAAAAGAAAAAAAAATAACACAACGAAGTTACAAATTGGAAAAACACATACAGGCAACGAACGCGCATACCAAATACACATAGAATGCCAACCAAAGGCGGTGATATGACATAAAAATCAAACACAATCACACACAAACACTGTGCTATTCGGTGTGGCAGTGTGCAGCCTGTGTCTTGCCACACACATGTATGTGGTGCTCTCCGGCACGCTGCTGGAGTGACCGAGTGAGAGCGCGAACGAGCGAGAAAGAGAAAAGTACACCGTGTGCACAGGTATTTAATTGAACCATACACAAAAGTCACATGAAATGTAACTATTGCCACGAGAGCGTGCGAGCGATCGTGTACACATGAAATGCACGTAGCTCCAAAGACCAGCCAAGATATACACAGACACACACACACCCCACACCATACATATAAGCACACATACCACCTCGTCTCTCTAACTAAACAATACCAGTGATGGTATTTTTTCCCCTTCTTCTTCTTCTTCGTTTGGCCTTTTTTTTTTGTTCATTTGTTGATCTGTGTTTCGTATTTGTTACAACAAACACAGAAAGAGAGCGATGACGACGAAGAAAAACGCGCTCTATTCAACAACATTCACGCGGCGTGCGCGCTATCCAACACCATTTGAAAAGAAATGGAAATACATGGACAAACTCTATGATCGAAATGGAAAAAAAGTGTTATTTTTATAAAATAAACCGTAGAATAATAATAAAATACGAACACAGAAAAAGTAAATATATGTGTATATGTATGTGGAAAGCGAGTGGAGCAATTGCGACAAATCAGATACAAAGCGTGAAAGAGAAAGAGAGAGAGAGAAAGAAATGTGAATAATAAAAGAAATATATATATATTCATCAAGGTGAATGACTGCAAGTACCGTACACTCTCAGCATATTTTTATTAATAAAAACGAAGAAAACATTATTTTTTTCGTTCATTTTTCCAGCATGCTTTTCATATGTCTTTCGATGATGTGTTGATAGTTATTTCTGATTGTTTTTTTTTCGTTACCTTTTCTGCTTTATTTTTTGCGCACGTCAAAGTTTGCTACATTGTCGGTCGACATAATATACAATGCATGCGATGTGCATAACATCCTTCACTGAACTATGAATTTCAGCATGTACTCAATTTTTATTTGGGCTAAACACTTTCTGCGACATTAATTCGGGTATTTTTTTTTTCTTTCTTCTGTGTTCGTCGCTTTTTATTAATCAAAATATTTTGAGCTCACTGTTGTGTAGCTGAATGTTTACACAGAAAATGTCTGTGAAATTGTGTGATAATGTTCCGTGGAAGGAATGCCATGGAATTGTTTACCTTTAGCAAAATGATCATAAATTTCTGTGGCTGACAATCAAGTAGCGACATAAAAATAACACGGTTTCGGTTCATATCATCGTATCTTGGCTTTCGCTTTGTGAGTGTGTAACGGTTAAATTGAAAATGATTTTCTGAAATGAACTACAAACAAGATAGCCCGTTCTCGATTCGGCCAAAAGGAACAGTTAGCGATAATATGGTGTGACTGGTTGGTCGGTCGGTCGGTTGGTTGCTTACTTTGGTTTGCTGTAGAATACACAATGCCTATCGAAGCCGTATGGCAATTTGAAAGTTTTGTCAATTATCGCAATTTGTTTATTCAACAAAATAATAGTGATTACGATGAAAGAAAATGAAGAAAAGGGTTGACGTGTCAATCTCAAGGAAGTGCCCAAGTATGAAAACAATAGCGCATTCGAGGATATACTTTGAAATGTATAAATAACCACACAAATTACATAGAACGAAGCGCATAAATAAAAAAGTTGCTTGCTCAGCACTTTCGTCTCTAAAATTATTGCATTCATGGAGGAGAAAAAAGCGAAAAACGATTTACGCTCACACAGAAAATCGTGGTTTTACACCATCTCAACTACATGCATGCACATGCACACTGCATTTTTATACGGAAAAAGTGCACTTACTTTTTTAATGTTGAAAATGTTTGAAATCAAAAACATTTCTGACAAAAACAAACACACACCGAAAATTGTTCAAGGTACGGCGGGTTTTTTTTCTTCTTTGGTTTAGCAGAGCAACCAAATAATCGGCTAAATGAGTACAAAAGGAAGGAATGGACAAGAAGAATGAAATGAAGAAACAAAAACGAGCGCGCACAAACAAAACGCTCTACCAAAAAGTGCCACGTCTTTGGATTGCAACACTTTTTTCTTCTTTCTTTCAGTCGTTCATTTGCAAGACGATGCACAATGCAAAATCCGCTAGCTACATTAAAAAATAATGTTTATTTTCTTGTATTTCCTTGTACGTTGTTTTATCGGCTAATTCTCTCTGCGTTACGTACAGTTTTAATTTTTCGGCTGTGCAAATGAAGTATTCAAATTGAAATGTTTTTTTTTTCTTTGGATTTTGTGAAAGGAGAGAAGGAATGAAACGAAACGAAATAAAAAAGGAAATGGCAAAATCAAAATGATATTCCAATTAAAATGTGACGGTTAAGCCGATTTTGCAACGATAATATTAAAATCAGTGAATGAAAAGAAATACAATTGTAGTCTGATGTATTGAGACCAATGCGATAATGTGCTAACTAAATATTCCCATCATGAACTTTGTAATTTCCCTTTCTCCCACCCCGTGTCCCCATCCGAAAAGAAAACGGTCGACGCTTTTAATTGAAATATAATAACTGAATCCAATTGCATATCCAAATTATGGCGAAGAATAGAAAACGGGCAAAATTATCGATCGAAAGCATCGACACCGATCAACAAAATTTGTTTAGTATTCAACGAACAACTGGAATTGCCACTTTACATTTGTTTGTTCTTCTTCTTCTTCATTGTCTCTCGACCGTTTCGTATATTATCTTCCCGTTTGATATACGGCTGACTCTCTTTTTATATGCGCTTAAGTGCTTCACCATTCGAATTAAATATATACACGTATAAAATGCACGTGTATAACAATATCTATAAAGCTGTCAGAACACTCGCGCGAAAAAAAAACGGAATGCAATTTATTCCTTCGAACGAACCTGGTTACATAATCAGATTTCTACTCAGTCCCGGTATTCTCGATATAGCTATATATATATATATATAGCTTATTTTGGTCATTATATTATTTAACTTTTTTAAATTCATTCTGTGCTGGAGTTTCACACATTCAGTCCTGTGTGAGTGTGCTACTTCAGAACGCGGATCGGCAGGGCGAACGAAGAAAAAAAAAACAACAACAACTTCAATATATGATAAAACGAAAAACAAACGTAAAAAGAAACAGCCGAAGCGAGAAGCTTCGATGACTAATACTATGTGACTTTATTGAGTCAAATCTATGAATCTCTGTGTGAATAAACGAATGGAATATGTAGCTACGTGCAAGTGTTGAATTGTATGATGTTCGAATTGGCGTTTGAAAAAAGAAGGAGAAAAAAACAGCAGCAACAACAAAACGAAGAAGAAGAAGAAGAAGTCAAAAGCCACTCACCGTGTACAATTTCAGTTCGTGTATGGGATTTTTCGGCAATTCGTGTTGTTCACTCTATTTTGGTTGGTCTCGATGCCGCTACTGATCACATCCATGTTCCAGGCTGTACGACATACCGCATCACATGAGCACTTGCTAAGCCTTGTCTCTTCTCCTATTGGATGGAAGCGACGCTCTTTCTTCTTCTATTTTCGATCCGTTGTTCGAATTAGAATGTTTTTACACCGTGTTTCTGGATTCACCCGTCAACTTTATATTGTCTATTTGAAATTCTCTTGAGCACTTGCGCGTGTAATTTGCTTTGTATATTTGTGCCGTTGCCTCTCTTTGTGTGTTTGTTGTTTTGTCAAATTCCTTTTGTTGCTTTTCCTGCAATGTATTCCCGTTCAAGTGTGTGTTTTTGCAACAGTCGATCGATTGACATATGATATCATCGCGGAAAAATTACTCAGTCAAAGGGATTTTTTTTTCTGCTCTCGTCTTTCGTTTGGTTGGCGTAATATTTGACTTACGGTAGAATTATTGTTGATTTGTCATAGATATTCTAACGTATGTGGTTGTTCTCAATTTTAGTTGTGTTTACCAATATCGAATTTCATTCGGTCAAACAACAACAAAAACAGCTTTCGGATCCTTTATTGTAATGCGATTTAAACGAGCAAAAAAAAAAACAAATGAATACCACAAAAGTATCTTGTTATTCAATCAATAACCATATGAAACGAAAACAAAATACTGCCGAACCAATCGGCCACTAAAAAACAGTCACAATTATTACGTTCTTCGTATTATTCGTGTTTGTTCTTCCTTTTTCGTTTCGTTTTTTTGTCTATCTCTCACTCTCTCTCTCTCTGCATCTGTGTTTATTCCAGCAACTTCATCACTGAATCATTTATCTTTATAAATACAAATTTACGTCTGATTTTAAATTGTGTCCCCTTCAGCTAGAGTGTCTTTGAATTGTTTTCGTTCTTCCTGATTGTCGTTTTGGGTAATTTTCGTGTAACGTCATCAAGGCACTTCAATTTATAGTCACTTTATCGAAAAAAAAAAAATCAAATAATAATCATAAAGCCCAAATTATTGACGAAAACAATTTTCGAGTCACTTTTAATTTTTTTTTTTTTTAATCTTTCTTCCACTTGATTTATGCACTATTTTCCATTCAGTATGTCCTTCGGTCACATTGACTTCAAGATGTCCTTACTCCAATCTTGATATGATCACATTGAAAAAAAAAACATGTAAATTCAGTCGATATAAATCTCGAAAAAAATGAATCAAAGTTTCTCAGAAATAGAAAGTGTCGTTGATTATAAAAAAATTTGTCGTTCAATTAAAAATTCCTTAGAAATTTTAACAAAAAAAAAATCAACAAATTCGAAGAGAGTGAGATAAAAGGGAAAAAACAGAAAAAAAAATCAAAAAATGCTATACATATTAAAAACACATGCGATTACAACGACGACAGGCTTTCAACTGAACAGACATCGAATCGAGTTCACGATCGAGCTCACAGGAGGCAGAAGAAAAAACAAGCAGCAGCCACGAAGTGAATTGTCGACTTTCGAGTGTTGAATACACTTTCAATGTGATGGTGCATTTGGTGGCGACTAAACTCGAAGCGATAGAACAGGATAGAGAAGAGGGAGCAAAATCGTTTTATTTTCTTATGAAATGTGTGTATTTTTTTCCCATTCGTTCGTATGTGAACGGAGCGCGCGCGGACACACGATCCGATCCCACATTCACATTGACTTCGTTGTTGCGCGACGTTCACATTGAATCGAATGAAATTGGCTGCTGGTGAAGCGAACGCGCGTGCGGACTTTACATTGCCTTTTATTAGATTCTCTTACTCCGTGTGTGTGTGTGTGTGTATGCTTCGATGTGTGCATATGTAGTTTTTTCTTCTTACGACTCCTATTCGTGGCTGGTTCGTGTTGTTTCGTGTTCTTGTTTGCGGGCGACCCATAAAAAACATTCAGTTTTTTTTTTCGTTCGTTCGATTCATTCCATGCGCTCGGTTGACTTTTTACCGTTTGCATTCGAATCGGCGTTGACTTTATCTTTTGAAACGCTTACGCACACGCATGGCACACTGGTAAGCCAGCGAACACGCATCGATCGACCCGCAGTTTTCGATGTGTGGTGTATACTATATTGTTTGAAATGAACTGTTGAAACATTTTGTGCGATACGGCATGTTTATTGCTGTTTTATCTAATGCAGAGTGGATTTTTTGTTCGTTCGCTCTAATGCGGGAAGGGAATTTCTATAATGGTTCATCGAAATCAATTGCTAAATGTGCAAACAACTGGATCTAAATTCGTATTAGAAATAATTTTAGCTTGCAATTGCAGGCATAAAACAGCGGCAGCGTCACAACTATCGGGTAATCAACAAGGGAAGCAATTTGCTGCAATCAATTCTGGCTTTGCCCTTATGCATTGCGCCGTACAAAATGGGTCGCATTTTCGTGAATTCTTTGATTATATTTGAAAAGAAGCGAAAATAATGGCTGAAATCTGGTTTTTATGACCTTAAAAAAATCCCCCTTATTTCCATTTTCGTTGTGCTGAACAAAGAATTGTTGTCGGATGCGCAACAAACTCAATGCACATGAACACTGTTGTATCGTATTAGATTCTAATTCTCTCTGCGTTTGCGTTTCACACGCGATTCTTGGCATGCTTGATGCGATCTCAAGCCACATTTTGTTTCACACAGCACAGCGGGCCCCATGAATATACATTAGAAATCTGGTGCTTTGGTATTGGGTTGTTGTTGTTATGGCCCATTCGATGTGTTGGTATGTTATGTTCATGCATGTGTATGTGTGTGTGTGGTGCTCGTTCATTTGAAACGGAGGCAGGAGAAGGCAATTAGAAACTAATAAAGGAAAAACCTAATCCACAATGTAAAATGGATTCTGAATTAGAAAACTACATTGGTGCCTCTTGCAAGCGCGTCTATGATGGGATGGTTTCATATATAGTTAGAATGTTCGGTTGCGCTCTCGCGCTCACACACACACACTCACATGTATGCATGTTCCGATGTGATCATGTAGTGTGTATGCGCGAAGAAGCAAACACTGCCTAGCTAAACCGAATAGAATGCCGAGTGTTGAATATTTTGTGGCATAAAAGCATTTACTCTATAGAATTACAATATACAATTTCTATGGTTATGGCGTGTGTTTTTTTTTTTTGTTCAGCTAGCTGAAGCAAAAGCGATACACACAGCGTTCGTTGACTCAACGCCGTTCTGTTTTTGTTTCTATTCACTAGGTTCAATTTGTCTGTTTCATGGTGAGAGAGCCCCATGTAAGCGAACCGAATGGGTGTTGTTGGCTTGAACATGTATTTGTGTCCTGAATTTCTGAGTGGATGAGCATTTTTTTTTCTTCTCTCGTTCGTTTTCTCGTTTTCTCAATCTGTTGCTTTTTCGAAGATATATATATATGTTTCTATCTTCTTCATCTCCATAGCATCTAGTTCTCTCTCACTCTTCCTCGGTTCTATGTGTTTCTTTTCTTCAACAATCCTCTCCCATACTAAATATGGGCACATCCACACGCTTCCAAACACAACCATATACAAGAGCAAGAGAATTTCAATTTGGACTGAAAGAAAAATATTAGCTTCGCTATGTAAGCAGGCGAACGCGAATGGCCTGAATTGAACCTTAGAATGATGAATTACAATGTTACATTATTGTTTTGCTGTCTTGGTTTCTCAGCCGTAGGCTTTTCGTTCACAATATCCATGGAACAATTACTGCATTTGTTTCATAAACATATTTTTACTTCTTCTTTTTATTTTTTGCTTCTCACTCTTTCATTGCTATAAACGTGATGTTGGCTCCAGTAGCTGTTATTGCTATTTCACTCGAACCACGGACGATCTCCTCGGTTTGCTCTGTTTTTTTTTGTTTAAATGCAAGTAACTTATTTATTCAATGAACTAAATTTTTTTTTTCCATTTTTGATGGTTGTTTCCCCATCGATTCAGCATAAAAAATGGAGGCAAATTTAAATAGAACAAAATGAATACCGTAACATGGTGTGCGATGGCGAAAGAACGTCTTGTTTTCAAGTGACAAATGCCCTGCCCAAAATAAAGAGTTTGGTTGAAATTCCTGCTTTACTTCTCGCATTCTTGATGGGCTTAAGCGTTGTTGAAATGTCACAACTGGACGCGAGTGCAAGAGTACGCTTGTCGAATGTGATTTCTCTTGGTTACGGTTGCCCATTTTTCATTTATCCGTCGATTCACTTGTTTCTCCTGTGTGCGCCGAAATGAAGAGCTGGCAATTAAAGCTGTTTGCCTTTTGGTCAAATCGATTAGATCATTTCGGTGTGCTGTTGTTTCCCTGTTTGCCGTATTTCGTGCCCGATCCGTTGCATGAATCCATAAAACTGCACGTACAGATTACGATACGATACCGATATATTGAGCTCAATGTAACACACGTTGAAATGCACGAGCTATAACTTTTTCCCCGAGAGCTGCCGTTTGATGTTCTCTTTTAATTTTTATTAACGTAACCTAATTCAATAAACCACTTAATTGGTCAAGTTATCATACATAAACGGCACTATTCGATTCGATTATGCGGCATACAAAATGCAGCCCAATCCCTATGCGCGCATGCATCGTGTATGCATTAGCCGTCGTATTGATTCTCACTGAAAAGAGAAGAGAGAATTGAATCGCCCCGTTAGCGTGATAGAATGAGACGGTGAACGTGATCATGCACGTCATCGTCGCCGTTGCATATACACGCATAACGGCACCCATGCATACACAGCGAAAACGAGTGAAGACGAAAAAAAGCAATATGTATATACTGTACGAAGAAGCATGATTTCTCAAACTATTTTGAAGGTATTTCACTTTGCACCGCGAAAAGAAAAGTAAAGTCACGAAATATTTCAAGAAAGAGAAACACAGCACAGCAGAGTGCAGCTCAGCGCAGCAACAACGCCAACAACAATAGAAGCAACGGCCAATTGAAGTGTGTAAACAATTTCACATGCAAGATACATGAAAAAGCAGAGACCAAAAGCACGAACAAACTATAGCAACATTCTCAAGCATTGTTTTTATCGATGTGCACCTCCGATGATCGTTCGCTGCATTTTGAATTCGGCCCTGGAATCAATTTTAAATCATCGCACTTAACTTGAGCATACAATGTACAACTGTGTTACAGAACGCACATTTTTCGTTCTGTTTTTTTTTCCCCGTTCGGGAATGGAATAAATATGAAACCAAGGGAGACAAACAAGATTTCGAGCCTTTTCGCTGGAATTATTGTGATAAGTCGTTTACGGTTCGATCTCATCGTCATTCGTTCGTTCGTTCGTTCTAAATTGGGGCAAAAGTGTGTGATTTTTTCGTTTAATTTTCTGTTAATGCCATGGCTTTAAATGCGATGCGAAAGCGCGATGAAGTGAATGTAAAACGGTGAGCCCGGTACCAGCCGTATTATTCGCGCATATTTTGCGTCAGTTTGTTATTGTGTAAATGGCTCTGGTCCTGTTTACAAGTTTATTCTCTCATGATTCGAATGTCAAGAATCGTGATGCTGCGCTTAACATCATTTCTCTTTAAATGGGAACCAACACAAGAGGAATGATAAAATGGTTTGAGTAAAAACAAAAAAAAAACAAGAAACGAAAAAAGAAGAAAAAAAAGCACATCATCCGCATCCTTCGATCGAACAACGAATTGCAATATAACGAAAGAGCCAGACAGTTATATTATATGCTTGCATTTAATGCATGCGTCATATTCAACATTTCACCAAATCAATCCGGATCGGGTTTTTTTTCCTCCTATAACGGTACATTTGATATTTATAAAGTGTGACGCGTCCAGTGTCCTCAATACCTTTAGCTACGTTGGCCATGGTTTTGCCTTTCAATTACCATTTTTTTCACTTCTTCTTCTTCTTCTTCTTCATTTTCTTCTTCATTTACGATCGTCGGCGGTGGTTTGACAACAACTTTGATGCATTGCCGCAGAAGTTGCGGAACAAAAGCACGTGGAATGGGCGCGGTTTACAACATAGAAGACTATCTAAAAATGGACAACGGTGAAAATATTCATAGAAGTCTAAATGAATTCAATTTTAAACGGATTGGACTTCATTTCTTTTCATCACGTTCGATCACAACACACATCGGCTCGAAGCATTTTATTCGAAACTCAAGCAATAACAACAACGACGACGGCCGCGACAATAGTGGCGGCGACGACGAAGACAGCAACAGCAGCAGAGACCGATGAATGTGTTCAATGTTTGATGTTTTGATTGTCATCTCTCTTTCGTTAGTATAAAATTAGTGAGATTTTTCGTGTGATTATGAAATGGCTTTGAGTCGTGGTATTTGCAAGTAATTATCAAGCATTTGTCTCTGTCTTTTCTACTCTGATCTTGGTTACGTGCGCGCGTTGCGCTTCCCAAACTCTTGCACAGAAAGTGCTAATACGCAGAGAAGAGCTCGTTTTTTCTTTGTGTTCATTTCTCTTCCAGTATCTTCATAGTTCTTGTTTCACATGTCTCCTGCTATTAAAA